GGCCCCCGCACGTCCACCCCGTCGACTCGCTTTAGTTCCCTCTTTCTCTCGGCCTCCGGTTCCGTGTCTGCGGCCCTAAGATCCCGCCTGCCCTCCATGCCCATCTCAAGGGCTCGGGCTTCCCTGATGTCCCGGGCTAGCTGCGGGGGCCGAGCCGGGCTCTGCCTTGGGGGGCCAGGACCCCACTCCGCCCGGCGTCCCTTCAGTTCCCTCCACCTGGCCAAGCAGCTCTCGCCCCTCCCGGGCGCTAAAACGGGTGGGTGCAGGCGAAGGGCGCAGAGGCCGAGAACCGAGAGACCCCTCCACCCGCCGCACGCCTTCCCCGGGCGCAGGCACAGCTGCGCCGCCCCTGGGCAGTGACAGTGACGCGGATACCCCGCGGCGCGTCCTCCGCCCGGGGACGCGCGGCTCCTCTTCCCTCCCTCCCAATCCAGCTCGAGTGGGCGGCCCGACGGGGGTCTGGGCGAGAGCCCCAACCCCTGGCAACCCCGCCTCCAGCCCCGAGGCACTTGGCTGAAATTCGCGAGGGACTCTAGACTGCGAAGGCCCGCGGGGGAGCTGTTGCGTCAGCTCCGAGATCTCTGATTTAGAACCGTGGTCTCCGCCCGGCCCGAAAGGCCGCGGGCAGCGGAGCCGCCGCCAGGAGGCAGCACTTAACAAAAAATGTCCCGGCTGAGGGTGCCCGCGGGACCCGAGTCACCAAGGCCCCTTTCATCCGAAGAGCCTTGGAAGCAGCGCGAACCCAACAATAGAGAAATCTGCTGGGCTCGTTCAAGAAAAGGGACCTGGAAATGCTTCAACATGTTTTAAAGCTAAAAGATAACTGGTAAATAACAGTTTCCTTTTGCATACCTTTTGGACGGTCTCACTTTGGCATTTTTAAGGCCAACATTGCCACTCTGCAGAGACTCACGGAGAGCCACCCACCCTCAAGACCAATCTGGTGGTGGAAAGGCACACAGCTGAAGAGACTTCAACACTGTCAGACAAGAAAAAGTAATGTAGCCCGAGGTCGTACTGATTTAGCAGAGATTTGACGGCCATGGGAAAAGAAAAGGAGTATGTTAAAATGAATTAGGTAAGTAATAAGAAAATAATATGCAAAGCAATGTATTGTGTGAGTGGGTGGCTTATAGCTGTCAGTTCCCACACTTTTTTGTTTGTTTGTTATTCCTCACCCGAGGGCATTTTTTCCATTGCTTTTTAGAGAGAGTGGGAGGGAGGGAGAGAGAGAGAAACATAGGTGTGACGTGAGACAGACAGACGCATCCGTTGTCCCAGCTGGGGCGGGGATCGAAGCCGCAACCCTGTACATCCCCTTCACTGGGAATCAAACCCATGACCCTTCCGTGCCAGCTCTCTAACCACTGAGTCACACCGACCAGGGCAGTCCCCACACTTCTTGCTGAGGGTGACAATGATTTGATCTTGAGCTGTCCTAAGAAGGAAGATAATGAAGGAATCTTGAAATAAGACACTTCCCAAACCTTAGAATTTGGTCCCAAGCATGCAAAAAGGGGAAGAGTATGCAAAATGACGCGGAATTGGTAACCCAGAGTCAGCTTCACTTCCGCTCTTTCCCCAAATCATCATTATTCATCACAATGGTTAAAAAAGCATTGCACTTGTACAAGTTACTGTATGCAGACCCGACAGAAGGATATTTGAATAAATATATTGAACAAAAACATGAGTGGTTAACATAATGTTAAAGCCAAATACAGGCTATAATGCCCTTGAGAGGCAAGAGAGTTAAAGAGAGGGAAGATATGAAGCTCAGATTCCTGATGCTGCCCTTTGCTCTTAATTCTGGCCTTTGCCAGATGAACTCCAGAGGTTGAGACACATCTAGTTTAGGATGCTGAGCCCCTTTTCTGTGGCTTATGAGTCTGATGAAGTCATTGAGGAGAGCTATCCAAGTGCCAAACCCTCCCTTGCAAGTGTTCCATGAGGTCCCTGAGAATGGTGATGATGTTAGCTGTCAACACTAGTGTTTTCTCTCTCTCTGACTCTCTCACTCTCTCGTTCTCGCTCTCGGTCCCAACATCCTAACTCATATTTCCTGTGGATTGTCCCCCTGCCACATCAAATATCCATGTTGGCCCAGCTGAGTATGGCTCAGTGGTTGAGCATCAACCTAGGATCCCAAAGATCGCAGTTCCATTCCCGGTTAGGGCACATGCCTGGGTTCTGGGCTCCATTCCTAGTTGGGAGCGTGCAGGAGGCAGCCAAGCAATGACTCTCCCATCATTGATGTTTCTCTCTCTCTCTCTCTCTCTCCTCCGCCTCCTCCTCCTCCTCCCCTCCTCTCCCTTCCTTTCTCAAATCAATAAAGATATATATATATATATATATATCCGTGTCAAAGGCTGAACTTGTCTTCCTTCTAAAGACCTTTCCTCTTCCAGATTTCCCAGTTTTCCTGGTCAAAATTTCTAACCTGCCCCAAAAGTTCTCCAGCTCTAGCTCCTTGATTCCTTCAGCTATTAAATTATTACGCGTTCACTTCTGCATGTGGAGTTCATATGGTACATGCTATTTGTGCACCTTAATGCATGTGCCCTCCCCTTTTTTTTTATTGTAAATCAATGGTGTGAGCTACTGGAATAGAGGAATGTTGTTGGTTCAGTTCTATAAACATTATAAAGATATAGCATTGGTTGTAGTGCCAGCCTGTCATCTTTCTTGCTAATCTTGAATGTTGACACTGAGGTTATTTTTCCAACCCTTGGCTTCTACTACTTTATTCCCCAACTGTAAACTATGTAATGTTATTCCAGTGCTGTCTGCCTCAGCTGTCTATCTCAGAACCAGCCAAACACACATAGAAGGTGTCACTCAGTCGTTATTACAACTGTAAAACAATAAACCCACAGCCATATTTTGTTCAATTTCCTGATCTCTGAGAACTACAAGCAATCTGTACAATGATTGCTTCCTGGACTGTCTTATCTCCTTTACAGGTTTATTATGAAAATTGTAGAAAATCATTTATATAGAAGTGTTTTTGATAAGTGAAAATTAAGTGTATGAATGTAAGATGATAATGGTACTCTATTGTCTTATTTCCCTTGCTTAGTTTTTTGGATCCATCTGGTGGCTTATGGCCAATTTCCTTTTGTTCCCATCCCTTCTTCTGGTTCAGCCCTAGCCTATACTATTCTTATTGTTATCGAAATAGCTTCTTTTACTTCTTAAATTAGGATCCACCCTTCCCCTCTTTCAAAGCACAGCTAGAGGCACCTCCTGTGGAAAAAGTTCCCAGTCTTGCAGAAGGAAATGATAAACGTCCGATAGGCCATGAAAGCACCCCTCAGGTTCCCCCAGTCAGCGCGTGTTTGAAAGTGTCTAGCCTAGTACATAGTAATGGCCACTTTTGTAGGAGCTTCACCATTTGTAAGCAGTTTCACTTACATTATCATCCTTAAAATGTCTGCACAGCCCTGGCTCGGTAGCTCAGTTGGTTAGAAGGCCTATTGCCATACACCAAGGTTGTGAGATCGATCCCTGGTCACAGCACATACAAGAATAAACCAATGAATGCGTAAGGGGAACAACAAATCACTGTTTCTCTCCCCTTCCCTCTCTCTCGTTAAACAAATCAATTAAATATTTTCTAAATGTTTGCACAAATGTGATATATTAAGCTTTTTTTAAATGAAGAAATTAAGGATAAGTGACTTACCCAAGGCAAGAAAGTGATTAAAAAAGAAGGAGTCACAGATCTGGATTTGCTACTTACTAGTACCTAGCTCACAAGGTTGTTGCAAAGATTATAGTGTGTGGTGCTTGCTAGCTCTTACAAAAATGGAATCAGATCTTAGCTCGGGTACTTCTTCCTTAAGAAAACCTTGACAACCTACTGTAGATCAAAGTTTCCATTATATGCTCACCAACATCACACAGTCCTTTCCCAGCACTTACCTCTGCTTTAATATTACAGTAATGTGTGACTATTTGATTACTGTCTTCTCTCTATAGACTGGAAGCTCTAGCAGAATAATGTCTGTCTTGTTCTCCATAGAATCTCCTGTGCTTAATACGGTGCTTGTCACACAGCTCTTCAGTTTTGTTGGATAACCCTGGCCCGTGTGGCTCAGTAGGTTGGGCATCTTGGGGTGTACCAGGAGGTCGCCGTTCAGTCCCGGTCAGGGCACATGCGATTCGGGTGCGTACAGGAGGCGGCCAATCCATGTTTCTCGCTCCCTCTCCCTTAATCTCTTAAAAAAAAAAAAAAATCAATGAAAAAATATTTTTAAAATTATCTTTGTTGGAAAAATGAGTGACAACTGGAACCCAAACTTTCTGATTCACTACAGGTTTGACTCTTAGGCTGGGAAAAATGTTCTGTGATGAGGGAGAAGATAGAATAAGGTAACGTGTATGTGACTAAACTGAGATAAAAGATAAATTTAAAAGAACTGGAGACCCCTGCAGGGAAGTCGTGTAAACAGTTCAAAGGACACGACTTCCACTGAGGACGTAACCACGACTGAGGACGCATACGATGAACGACCGTTCTAGTTCAAATCTCGGGACCGCACTTTTGTTCTTCCCTTCCGTACAATGACCCAAGATGGCGGGGCCCGTGATTGGAAACGGGGTTCAAGATGGCGGCTTCCTACCCTCCCCCGAAGCGTCGCGCGTGACCACGCCCACTTCCGGTTCCTCGGCTCAGCATGGCTGCGTTAGGGTTAGGTAGTCTGCTCCTGGGTAAGTGGGTTGCAGGGTCCGTAGGCTCGGGAGCCCGCGAAGGCGGGCCTGGGACCCCTGAGTGGCAGCACGACCTCTGTCCCACCTCTGCCGTGTTTTCCCAGCAGGTGTCCGGAGGCTGCACGGCAGCGCGGCGGCTCGGGCGGGTAGCCAGTGGAGACTCCAGTGAGTGTCGGCTTGGGGGAGGCCGGGGGGCCAGAAGCTGTGCTGAGTCCTAACCGGACTTTTTCCTCCACCCAGGCAGGGCATGGCTGCCAATCCCTCCGGCTACGGGCCCCTGACGGAGCTCCCAGACTGGTCTTACGCGGGTGAGCGCTGATCTGACCGTTAACTCTCCTTCGGAGAATTTCACCCAGAGAGAACGCCCCTGGGGAGAGCGCAGGGGCTGGGGTGGCGGTGTCAGGGTTGGGGGGTGTCTGAGTGAACAATGTATTGAACTTTATAGGGGGAAGAATCCCTATTGTTTACTTTGTAAATTAAACTACGCCTATGGAAAAGAAAGCTATTCAAGATCTTTTTGGCTTGTGCAGATAAGCAGAAGACAATTCTGAATTGGGGAGCGCCCCCCGGGAGGGGTAGTAAAGATTTCTGTTTCCCAAAGGGGGGCGTGGTTTTTAGAAAGTTAGGAAGAACCGCCCGTCTGTGTGGTGAGCATATTATTGAGAATTTGGTACCAAATGCAGGGAGAGCTCTTGGAAAGGCTGCCTAAATGAGCATCTCAGAGAGAGGAGTAGAAAAGTGGGGATTGAGGATGGTGGCCGCCCTTCAGAAAAGTCTCTTCCCTTTACTTTAAAAACAAACAAACAAAAGAAATATTAGCCCTAGGAGGGAGGACCTTAGAAAAATTGAAGCCACTCGTCCCCTATGGGACTCCACTTTACAGGTGGGAAAATTGAGACCTACAAAAGTGAATTAATTGCCTGTGGTCGCCTACTAGGTAATAGCAAAGCCAGGACTAGAACTGGGCAGAGGCCAGGCCCCCTTCAACATCACAGAGACCTAGGTATTAATACCCTATTGGGTTTTAAAAGAGTATGATCCAGCTTAATCAGAGACTTGGTGCATGAGGAGGATGGTGAACATTTTTTCTACTTGTTATTTACCATAGGAAGGCTAGGATCTCCTGAAGTAGTATGGAATATTGGAAAGACTCTGGAACTGATTCTTAATCCACACTTCTCTACTTACTAACTTTGTGGGTCTAGGACAAGTTACTTAATTGTATCAGTTTCCACACCTGTAAAAAAATACCTATCTCATATGGTCCTCATAAGGATAAAGTGAATCAACCAATGTAAACACCAGGCATACACAATTTTGGTTCCCTTTATTGATAAGTTATATCTCTTACCTATCTTGCTTTCAAATATTTGGGCAGAATTTTCACTATGTTTCTTTGTTGAAAGTGCCCTTTCTCTTCAACTTCATTATAAACTATTTAAGATACTGCATCTTTTTAGTAAGTCTGCAGATATTTATGAAATTTTTATCATGTGCATATGTGCCTACACAACAGTGAAAGCTTGGTGATACAGTCCCTGATTCCAAGGAACTTAAAGTCTATCTGGGAAAACAAAGCATGGACATTTTAAAAATTAAATGGTAATACTTCAGTGTTCTCCTTTCCAAAAGGATTTGAGATGGCTATATAAGGTTAAAAACAATAGTACAATTGCCCGGCTGGGCGTGTCTCAACAGTTGAGCGTCGACCCACGATCCAGGGGATCAGGATTCGATTCCTGGTCAGGGCATATGCCCAGGCTGTGGGCTTGATGCCCAGTCAGGGGCATGCAGGAGGCAGCCGATCAATGACTCTCTCATCATTGATGTTTCTATCCCTCTCCTTTCCTCTCTATGAAATCAATAAAGATATATTTAAAACAAAAACCAATAGTACAATAAATGTCCCAAGGCAAATAGATGAATGTTATATAATTGATATGTACTTCTTTCAGAAGAGAGGATTGAAGGTGTTAGAGAAGAGGTTCTTGGACAGGCAGGCCTTGAGGTGGGCCTAAGGATGATAATTTGGCTAGAAGGAAAGGCAACAGGTGTTTGTCTCGGTATGGAGTTGGGTGGAATTTAGCAAAGACTGGTAGTGCATTTGCTTGAGTGGAGGGTTTCTGAAGATAAAACAGGCGATTCAGCATTGCAAAGAACCTTGAATTCCAAGCTAATGAGGGGTAAGTGAAATAAGAACATGCCTGGGAGCTTATTCTTTGTGGTTCTGGCATACTTCACCCTTGAGGATGAGGGACATGTTTTAGGGTGTGAAATAGAAAAGAGGAGCTAGAAATTGGTTTTTCCCTCATTTCTGTCAATGCTTTCACAAGGTGCTACAGGTCATTTGCCTTTTCTCTCACTTCTATCTACAGATGGGCGCCCTGCTCCTCCAATGAAAGGACAGCTTCGAAGACAAGCCCAAAGGGAGAAGTTTGCAGTGAGTGGCTAGAGACCCAGCCAGGGCAACCTGCATGTAATCTGAAGAAAGTTTAAATCGTAATTTGCCTTGAGCTGTGTTGACACCTAAGCTAACATGTATCCTTCACACTAAGGTTTTAAGAGCCAAAGGTTTTTTGTTGTTGTCTTTAATATGTCTTTAGAGAGAGGAAGGGAAGAGAGGGAGAGACAGATAGAAACATCAGTGATGAGAGAGTCATTGATCCACTGCCTCCTGCACGCCCCACACTTGGGATGGAGCCTGCATAGGTCATTGCTCAACCCCTGAGCCACGCCCGCCAGGCAAGAGCTAAAGGTTTTAACAGTACTGTGAGCAGGAAGGGATAGAGTGGGGTACTCCTGGGCAGGAACCAGTAGTCACATTCTGCCACACATTTTGCTGTCTTCCTCCTGCTTCCCAGCCCAGGACCTGGTCCCACCCCTTCCCGTCAGCAGTGTCATTTTCCAGCTGAAACCTCTGACTTTGATCTGTGAGGGAAAGGATGTATGGTGCAGAGCTCAAGCCCCAGATGTTATTCACACTGTTTTCCTGTCTGTTTCAGAGACGAGTTGTATTACTGTCACAGGAAATGGATGCTGGATTACAGACATGGCAACTCAGGCAGCAGGAGAAGTTGCAAGAAGAAGAAAGGAAGAAGAAAAATGCTCTTAAACCTAAAGGGGCTGCTCTTCAGAACTCAATACCAAGTCAATAAAAAGCAATTCCTGTTTCCCTTTCCCAGCCTCTCTCTGGCTTTCTTTTCTATCACCTAGATGCCTCATCCCAGCCATTTTTTTGTTCCCTATCTATCTTCAGAGCAAAAGAGCTTGGACACCAGGCTATAAGAGCATTGCCCGGAAGGGTTGGCTCCATGTCCTCACCCCTGGCTCCCTTCCAGTTCAGGGAAATCTTGCTCTGGGATATTTACTCCGTCCTTTGCAGGTCATAGGACTGACCCAACTATGAGCAGTTACTGCTCTGCAAACATGAAAAAGGGGCAGCAGTTTTCTTGGTCTTAGCCACCATTCAAGCCTTGAAAAGCCTATACACAGCTTAATCTGCATACAGGTACACATTTAAAAATGTTTTGATGAAAAAGACTTTCCAGCTGAGGTCCATTTCTTGGCAAGCAACTGGTGTCAGTTTTTCTAAACCAGATACATGGCCCAAGACAATACCCCCATTGGGAAGGCTGACATGGGAAGAACCACACTTGGGTGTTGCATGTTCAAAAGATTTGGATCTTGAGGTTTCCATGGTTCTGATTGAATTCCAGAGATTGGTTGGAGAGAGGGCTGCCCTCCTGACCCCAACTTGTGTGGGGAGCCCTGGAGGTACTCAGCTCCCAAACAGTCACTGTGGGGTAGGTATTTCCCATATGTCTCTCACAAATCTCTTAGCTGTCCCCCAAGACCCAGGGAAACCTTTCCTTTTGTTTAATGTTTTTATTAATTTTTAGAGAGAAAAACATCAATGACAGAGAAACATGGATCAGCTGCCTCCTGCACGCCCCCTACCAGGGATTGAGAACGTAACCCCAGTATGTCCTGACTAGGAGGAGAACCAGCCACCTCTTGGTGCATGAAACAACTCTCAACCAGCTGAGCCACACCGGCTGGGCAAACCTTTCATTTTATTGATCAAGGCTCCTCTCATGGTTTCTGTGTGGAAAGGACCTTTGCTCCCATTATAATATACAACTCTGGACTTTTTTTCCATTTTCATGTCACAAACTTGTGTTAGTTCCTGGATCTCTAGGATTTCTGGAGCTTCCTACCTGACCTAATTTCTGTCCAGCCTTGGAGTTATTCCTTACTTTGCTTTCTTTCCCTCCTTCCCCCCAGTACCACCTCCTTCTCTCACTGACCAATATAATTCTTGGATCTTAAATTTTGCTGATGGTCAAGTTTTCTGTCTCCCACACTTTTCCTGCTTGTTGGTGTGCTTCTCCAGATCTAGTTCTCAACCTCTTATCTGTCTCCCTTTCTCAGTCAGCTTTAGCCTGCCCTCCCCCTTCCTTGCATACCTCCACCTTTTGTTCTCAGAGACTAGCCAAGTCCTTGAAGGAGATTTTACCCTTGAAGTAACTGCCTCCTTTTCCAGTGTAGGGAACTACACCCTAAAGTCCCAACTTCCAATCTCTCTTTTAACAATTACATCAAATTCGATTTGCTTTTTCCCAGATTCCATGGCCTTGCACCCCTTTCCTCCCCAGCCACTTCTAATTTAAGGAGCAGCCAGATTGCAAGTTCCATAATAAAGGGAGCGCGTTTGTTCTTCTGTAAGGATGCCCTCCCAGATCCAGTGTGGTGGTGGGGTTTGATGGGTAGTTGGATTTTGTTGTTCGTTTGTTTGTTTATTCTGCAACGGGACAGAGATGATTGTCAAGAATAAGAGACAGATTTAATTTGGTTTAGTCACAGGTCCCAACAGACAACTCGGGTCTCAGGACATGGAAGACCCCCGGCCACCACCCCAGACTCTGAACTTGTTTGCCCCAGCCACTGAGCCTCCCAGTACTTCCCACTCTGAGGTGAGACAAACGCTGAATACCAGAGGAATCAAGCCATCCAAAATGTGCTTAGGGGGAGAAAATCTCCCACATCCCGTCCCCTGGGTCCCCCCACAGTCCCCTGCTCTCGGCTGTGGCTTCAACCCCTGGAGATGGCAGCCTTCACCACAGAAAGGCAACTTAGGTTTGGTTTTTGTGTGTGTGCTTTTTTTTACCGGGCTCTTGGCTGTAATTGGATTCAGGCAGAAACAACCACGTCCGCACCGGGAAAGGAGGGCATTGGGGCGGGGGCGGAGGCGAGGCCATGGGAGAAGGGAGGGACCAGAGGGAGAGAGCGAGAGGGACTGCGCTCCAGTTCGCCGACTAAGCAGAAGAAAGATCAAAAACCGGAGTAGAGGGGAAGAGCAAACAGGCGCTTTCAAGAACAGTTGCCTCATCTCCAGTCGGTCAGCGCTCTAGGAATCCAAACTCAGTGCCTCCCGAAGACAAAGGAGCCCGAGGGCGCGGCGGC